GCCAGGAGTGACCAGGCTAGATATCAGGAGGCACTACTTCACTGTCAGGGCAGCTAGGATCTGGAACCAACTTCCAAGAAGTGGTGCTGGCTCCTACCCTGGGGGTCTTTAAGACAAGCCTAGACAATCACCTTGCTGGGGTTGTTTGACCCCAGTACTCTTTCCTGCCATGGCAGGGCGTCAGACTTAATGATCTGCTCAGGTCCCTTCCAACCCTACTAACTATGAAACTATGAGAGTTAAATTCAACTAAGAAACAATGATTACATATTCCACTGTGGCACCTGTATACTGTATTTGGATCCCAATATTCTGTTCTCCGTATTTATAGTGTTGCCTAGTTTTTAGAAAGGTATTTCACTGAATCTGTCGCATACTAGGATCAAAATCTTTAAAACACAATCCATGCATGTGTACATTTTTCCCTCACCAAATATTAGAATCAATGAGTAAAATAAAATGAGTAAAATACAATCTGCAGTAATCCCTCTCTACCTACATGTAGTAGAATTGCAAGTTATTAGAATGAAAAATGTTCAATGTGATTCTAATAACCAGCAGAAAGTGTACTCTCCCAAACGGTGAGGTTGACTCTGTGTCTTTTAAAAGTTCTGCGTGACCGAGAATGCGTTTCTGGAGTATCCTCATTAAGCAATATGCACAATTTCAAATGCATCAATAGAAATCTTAAAGGATTTCATTTTACAGTTTAAGAGAATTGTGTTAGCCTTCTGACCATGATCCATTAAACAGACATCTTTTTTTTAAATGTATTAACACTTATATACATTCATATATACATACAAAGAGGTAGATGCGGGGGTGGGGGGGTTGTTTGTTTGTTTTTGGATTTGGGTTTATTTTGCTAATTTTATTCATCAGTCTATTTTGTTAATTTATAGTTTTTGTTGATGAATTTTTGTTTATTTTGTTAATCAGATCTGACGATTAAACAGAAGGCCAAACGGTGCTGTCTGTTACATTAGTAAACATGGAATCACTTCTTTGACTACTACAAAATAACTCTTGATTTACACTAGGGTATGTGAGAGCAGAATTTGATCTTAGTTGGAACTCAGTCCTCAACTACATCTGCAGGGAAGGAGACAGAGTGAGATACATCTTTATGCCTGATTTTTGGTACTAATTGTATACTGCCTATAGCTTAGAACTATACCTGCTCTAAGCTGTGCCATTTAAATGGTCTTCATGCTTCCACTGAACAGCTGGTTCGGGATAAAAGCCAAGCATGTGGCCATAAACTTTAAGACAGATAGAACTTCTCACAAGCTTTTTCTTTAGTTATCTTTTTTTTTTCCTATGAGGTCAGATTTTCTTTTTACTTGTTTATATTCCTCCTCCTAGCAAAAATAGCAATACTCAACTCTAAATCTCTAACACCAAGCCACAAAAAACTCTTTACCTTTATTACTGTTCCCAGATGACTTCTTGCCCAGGTAGTCACAGATCACCCCAGCATCCTCGCTGTGACGGCAGTTGTGTGTTCCAATATCCTGTTTAATGCAGTCAGCCAGGGATCTCTCATTTCCTGTACATTTGACATTATCCACATGGATTGGGCCTTTTCCCTCCCCAAAATATGCCATTGTCCTGGCTCTAGCTGGGCCTCTGGAAACAGAATATCCTAATATAATAAATACATTTTTAAGCAGTCTTCTATATTTGTCTCAACGTAAATGTATCTGAGACTGTGTAGAAATGAAATAGAATTCAGAACTGTGAGGTTTTATTCTAAGATTTTTCTGATTCACTGGAGAACAACTGCATGTCGTCTTATTATCTTTTTTAACTTATCTCTAAATGGAAAAAGCATTACCTAACTAGCAAACTTTGTGAAGACTGGTTATTATTTGTAATAGGATTTTGTATCTTTAAGCTAAAAAAGCTTCATAGAAATGCATACTATTGTAATAACATAAAAACAACAAATTATCTCTAATAAATCAAAATCCAAGCAGTCCTTGACTTAGAACGTTTTGACTTACGATGTTACACATTTACAACATTTATACATTGACACCTTGTTTCAATTTCTGATGTCAGTTTCAACTTTACAATGCTTGATCCGACACCATGCCATGCCAGACAAGACTCCAGAAAAACCTGCAGCCAAGACTCCTGAGAAGACTCCAGCCAAGAACCCTTCAAAACATCCAACCAAGAGCCCTTCAAAATGTCCAGCAAAGTCACCTCAAAGAAGTCCTTCCAATTCAATATGATTGGTATTTACAATATAAATACATTAATGTCGCTATATTACTCATCTATAATTGATTGAGAACAAAACTGTGGGTTATTTTTGGTGAAAATAGGGTATCGGGCCTTGGTTCAGAAACCAATCCTCTATTTACAACATTGTTTCCTATGGGCAAACCAGTTCCAAGTTACAACATTTCGACTTAAGATGCGGTTTTTAGGAACTGATTGTGTTGCAAGTCCGAGGGCTGCCTGTATGCAAGATACTTTAACATAATCTGTTAATTTTTTCATAAAATTGCTGTCCTTGTATTCTGAACATAATTTATTTTCTCATGATTCCCTCAGAAAGCTAAACAAGTTTAAACATGGAACACCTAGAATTTACTTAAGAACAAAGGCTTATAAATCATGGCAGCATACCCCAGAAAATGAAGACTACAACTGGGGACTGTACAATCCATAATCTACAGCCCCACACAATCTGGTTTTAGCAATACAATGTTAAAATAAATAGATCAAGAAAGTAATTTCATTATTGTGATAACACTTTCACAGAAAAAAAAGTAAAGTTCAGGTTTTGGCTTTTTTTAGTCACTTGAACTAAAGAATGTTGTAGCCATTAAGTTAGGCCCTACAACAAATTGCTAAATCTGTCATCTGAAGATGTTAGAATTAATCACTGTGGCATAATGTAAGACAGAAATTACTTTAATATATTTACCAGTCAAACTCTGCTTTCCCTGGAGCACATATAAATCAGATTTGTGGCATGTTCATCCATCTCTACAAAGTTTCAGCATGTCTCATTAACACTGAGCTTGTTTCTGTTGCAAGCCAGGATAATAACATAGCACTCTCACACAATCCCTAACTGCACCAATTAATAAACATACCAGATAGGGAGGATGACCCTGATCTTCTGTTGCAGCTGTGGAGTATATAGGATAAAACTTGGCTAAATGTGTTGGGGTTTTAACACCTTTGCGTTCAACCAGTTATGCACTGGGTGCATACAAGTCAAAATATCCAAAGCAAGAGTCTGATTTACATCTCCTAAACACTAATAAAACACCTGAAGAAACCCATACTATGGCCCTATATCAGTAACTGGTAAGGAGCTGTTATACTGGCTCAAAGGAGATGGTGTCTACAGACACATGGCTAAGTTTCAGCCAAATAACTAGACCCTATATAGTGACAGATGCCATCACAACTTGTAGACGGAATGCATCAAATCTGGCATTTCACTAAATCAATGCTGATACATTAGAGATTAAAGGTATGTACAAGTCTTAGATACAGATCACCCTAACCAAGGTTAGGAAGATCTAAACGGTTCAGTGTTCAAGAGTTCACCTGGCTTAGGTCACCCTGAAAAAGTGAAGCAACTTAGAGGTGAACTAACTATAGATTCATAACAGGTTAACTAGATCTAGCAAGGGTTAACCCTACCATTCACAGCACAATCCTGGAGCTGGTAAAGCCCAGCCATTTGCCATAGCCAAAGGGCTGTACTGTTTTTACCCCACTGACTATTTCCCCCCTCTCTGACTACCCCTGCCAAATTAAACAACACCCCTTTCCCCACAATCCACCAAGCCCCACTGCAGACCTGCCAGCCCCCTCTAGACCTGCTCCCCTGACCCTGACCCTGCCAGCTCCTCCTTACCCCCTCCCCCACTTTCCATGACTGACTTACCTCTGGCTAGCCATGCCTCTCCTGACAAGGGTAAACACATGCATGTGACACTGCCAGCTCAGGCATAGGTGGCTTAAGTTAAGACACTTAAACCTGACCCAGGTCTCAACAAATGCTTGTTTGCACCCCACCTTGGCCCTCTAAAGCCAGATCTACACCATCAAGTGTCCAATGTGCAAACCATCCCAGTAGCTGAGTATCTAGAGAACTTTATGTTAATGACCCTTAAAATCTTAGGTCTCTGTGGCAAGCTTCTTGTGCAATGCAGTGGTGCCCTCAAACACACTGCACTGCTTTGCCCAGGCTGCCCACAAAACCATGATCAGGTTCAAGTGGCTCTTTGCAAATGATCCTGCCCCATTGTTAAGTGAAGGTCTCACTTATTTTACTCATGCTCATGGTAATTAGCCCTCTGCAGTGCCATGCAGGTATGCAGCTTCTGGTTATTTTGTCTGGAAGCAGCCTCCAGAGAAGTGCACTGCACTGGAAGACAGTGCCACCTGGTAGGATAAGTTTGTCATGTAGACATAGGATCATAGGAAAGTAAGGCTGGAAAGGACCTCACAATGTCATCTAGTGCAGCTGCCTCAAGTCAGGATCAACCTTGAATAACCAATCCCAGGCAAGTGTCTGTGAAAAATTCCAGGGATGGAGATTCCACAATTTCTCTAGGTAGCCTGTTCCAGTGCTTGACCATCCTCATAGCCAGAAAGTTTCTTCTATTCTCGGCACTAAATTCCTTTTGCTGCAGCTTGAGGCCTTTGTTTCTAGTCCTGTCCACTATAGCCAAGAGAGAGGTTCATCTCCATCCTCTCTCTAATCGTCCGTCAGCTATAGGTTCATAGGAAAGTAGAGTTGTTTCTTAGTTGCTGCTCCTGTGAGAACTCCTGTTGGAAGCCTGTTTTTAAATATAAGTTTTTAGACAGAATGTCCAAAAATAAAGTTGGAAGGTGGAAACAGCATTTCCATGCATCATAATAATGCCTACCACACCTAACTTTTACATCATGTTGTTCAGCTGCAATGTCAAGTCTTATGCAAAGCAGGGTCCGTTATCTCCCTGCATTCAAAAGTGTCAGCCTGAGCATCCAACCATGGGACTCAAATCTTATTATGGTTTGAAAGTCTGACGCATATAACTTATAGTGGCCTGTATACATTCACCAATGACTGAAAGGCCCATTTGGAATGGCTGAAGGTTGCAAATTAGCAAATGATCAAATATAATAATAAAGAAAGAGTTATACCTTGATATCCACTTGGTTCGTTTTGTGATGGATGTAACTTAGTTTAATTCTTCACCAGTCTATTAGTAAATGTTCCACAGTATATGGTGAAAGATTAAGTATTAGTAATACAAGACCTCCTTACTATTTTTTCCTAAGAAGCAGGAACCCTGCCTATCTGTTTGTCTCTGAATTACAGATGGGCTGATTAGTAAAGTGCCATTTAGGGAGGCTTTATTGCAGTTAATACTGTTATATAAGTGTAGTATATTTCATTACATGTATGTATGTTTTACATATACATTGCATATATTTTTATGTAAGGTACACAGAGGCTACACAACATTATTATGAGTATGAATGGGTACCCACATGTCCATTGAAGAGCTCAAGTATATTTGTGCAGCCTGGCTTTTTAAACAGAGGAAATATAAAAATGCAAAATCTATTAAGCAGGAAAAGAAAGTATGGTACTTCTGTGACTCCACCCCAGTGTTGGGTGGGGTACATGAGAGTGACAAAAAAGTGATGGTAAGAATCGGTGTATTGGTTGGGGATTTCCTGGTAATAATCTCCATTTGCCCCTTCATATTTAGTCCTTTCCAGCACAATGTTACTGGATCAGAGGCTAAAAATCTGCCCTTGAATCTCTAATTGCTGTATAACATAGACATAGCAGTGCTAAGTGAAACTCTTCTCTTGTCAAACTTATACGTGTGTGTGTCTGTGTTTTTCCTTGGGTGGATTTTTTGCCTGCATGGTAACCAGGAAATACTGGTTCAAATAAGTGAATTGCAGACTCAATAAAAAATATAGAAAACATCTGACTGAGACAGTAGCACAAGGGCAAGCTGTCCCTAGACTTCTTAGTTTGCATGGCCAACACACACACCAGATAATCCAAAATCTCACTGAGTTTGGAAGCACTATAGACTTCGAATGATTTGTTTAACTTGCATGTCTCCTTGTTCCAAATCTTTCATTTTTTCCCCTCTTGAACAACCATACTGATTGCAGAAGCTGCAAGGGATCTACCTGATATCCCTGGTATCACAAAAAGTGAGGAAAGTACAGTTTTTGTTGCAAAATCATATCTGCCTTTAAGAAAACCTTATCAAGAAGCAACTAGTAGTGTGCTTGATGAAGGCTCAGTAAACATTTTCCAGTAAGTCCCCGGAGTACTAAAATTTATGTCATGTTTAATTTCCACAGAGTACCCTTCTCCTACAAGTATTTCTTACTGTTGTGTTCACCACTCTTTAACAAATATTTAGCAAAGTCTCTGCCTCTAAGACATTACCAGCTGAGTCTCACACAGAACAATAAATACACTACACAGCCCAACAGTTTGTAGACAGAAAGGTATGGAGACAAATGAAGTAAGTTTTACAGCGAGATATGAAGATGTAGGAGGGGGCTTGTTGCATGTGACACGAGATTATTCATTGGTGCAAAGGCATCAGAAATGGTTGCGCTTCAATGAA